GTTTCTGGTTTATGTGATGGATGCACACGATAATGACGAAGCAGGTTATTATAACGATTTGAAGTGTGATGACAAGTTGATAATTCACAGGGAAAGTGTTCCAGGGGCTTATCCATCGCATTTTTCTACACTTTTTCACAACTCGCCGCAAAGTTACAAAAAGTTACAATGTCACGACAGCACAGTAGACGCGAGCGCGCTATTTTTCCCGCCAAAATAATTTAAGCTTCAAGTATAAGAACCAGTATACCACTAACACTTCAGAACGAAATAAACAACACAATTTCAAAACATAATAGATTTATTGTGATGAATGTCAAATAAGTATATACAAGCACGTTATTTTTTGATAACATGTTAGGAAATTAGTAAGATTTACTATCATTTTGCAACAAAAACAATGGATGAATCAGCAGTTTGTCACATAACGAATCGCAAAAAAATGAATAAAAACTTACGTAAAATCAGGTTTTCTTTCACAACCTCTTGTTCACAACTTGAAACATTACTAATGACTTCGAATTTGTAGTTAAGACAACTTTATATTCAATATTTTGCACTAAATCGCAAGGATACAACTATTCAAATCCGACTCAAAACAAAATGGCGGCTCTCAACGCAAAGGTTGGTGCAGGAAGCTAGGCGCGCGGTCATGTTAGGGATTGATTCTTTTTCAAGTCAGGAAATCATGCATTGCGCGATTTCCGAGATCACCTGGAAAAGGTGAAAGAAGTGAAACTGGAAGTGGACTCACTCATCATTTTCTTTTGAAGCCATGATTGCTCATACGCTTAAAGGTTTCAAAGGAACAAAAGGAACTCCTGATCTGATTACTTACCATAAAACTTTGAAATCTGATTGTTTTGAAAGACTTGTAATTAATTTTGTTATCAAGCCATGTATAGTGTACATAGACTGAAGAAGTTGTATTAATACATGCATATAGATGGCAGAAAACTATCAAWTTGAAAAAGGCATCCATCCCCTGCAAAGGAAGCTTCAAAATACTGCAGATGATGATGATRTTAAATCCTTCTCAGCAAGGTTGTCATTGTCCAAACCAAGGTAAATTTAAATGAAAAATTWGAATTGTATTATGTGAATAGTTATTGCATGGCTTTTTTTAGGTCAAACTGGAATCCCATCACAGATAATATTTCATTCTCAGAAGCTTTGCATAGACAAGTAACAGTTGAAGAACTGGCTGCTATCAATACACTATTATCATCTCAAGGTTTATCAGTTGTGCAACAGCATGATCAGCAATTTGTTGCTGAACGAATGAAGTATGATGCAGCTGTTTACCACTCAAAACTGTATCGCAGAAAAGGAAGGTCATGCAGTTTTCTTATACAGCACTGTGATGGAAATACGTTTCACTATGGTGAAGTGCAATCCTATGTTTCTGTTGGGGTATATCATTGTGCAATAATTAAGCCCTTTGCAGTAGTAGATACTACAATATGTAATTGTGATATTATTCCCTCGGATGATCGTTTTGTACGCTGTTATCAGAATGCTAGGCTGATATGTAATCATCATGTGCCTATCAATGGTCCTCCAGAGGACAGGATAGTAGTAAAATGCATACAAGTTAATTTGAACAATTCAATAGTCTATGGATACTWAACACCTGTTCTGGATTTCAATTGTAAATAGTATGTTATTTAATTTGATCATACAAGTACCAATTTAAAAAATATATAGAGCCAAAATGTGTCAAATGTGTATTTTTTTATTAGAGACCTCAGCCATCTAAAACCTTCAACTTTAGTTAACTTAAAATGTTTTCATTAGCTTTGTCATTTCATATAAAAATCCTGTTAAGAGCACTTTTCAGATGTTGTTCATATTTCCAAGATCATGCCAATATCTTTGTTTAATCATGGTAAGATAATGGCAAGGTCATTATTAAGATCATGGATGAACAATGCCTATGCCTATGCCAAGATCATGCTAAGCTCTTGCCATGTCAAGATCATGGTAAGATCATGTTTTTATCATGTCAGAATCATGGAAGATCCCAAGATCTTTGTTAACTTTTCACGTAAGTACTTGCCAAGATCTTGAAAAAAATTGCCAGGATCTTGACAAAGGTCTGGATGAAATATCTTGCTTAATTCTTATCAAGATCATGCTAAATTTATGGCATGATCTTTCAAGATTTTGACAAGAAGTTTTCTTGCCAAAGGCTTTTCCAAGATCTTGTAAGATCTTCCATGATCTTCCAAGATCTTGATAAGATGTTCAACCTGGGAAGTGATGCCGTGCCACTTTTCAGGTGGGCTCATGGACAGATTTGATAACCTTGGTGAACTGATCATAGGGGTATTGATACTGTGCATAAATTGTTTACACTGGGATTACATATAGGAGAGTTACCACCAGTGACTRATTGGTTTTGGAATGACTGTCCTGCAAACTACAGTGAATAAAGAATTGTTATTAAAGAACAAAACCTAGCAAAGTAACAAAAATCACTCACAGTAATCTATAACCTTTGTCAACAATGATATGTATCATACATTGCATGCCAATAGAATATAGAAATCACTGCCTAATAAGGATACCTGATTCATCATTGCCATTGTTGTCGCCATCATAGACATCATATATGTGCTAAGAAGGTTTTCAGTAAATTGGGTTTGTGCTGGCCAGCTTCCTTGTTGATTTTTTGCAGCACCTCTTGATGTCTTGGGCGGTGTAACAACAATGTCTATATGTTTTGTCCAGTCAGGCTCCTCACHAATTCCACAGTGGCCTTCCACCATCTGATCAGTCCATAATTTCAAGTGCTTGTGTCCATATCTCCAGAGAGTACCTTTCTTTTGGAGGTCACGAATTAACTGAGCATGGCACCTGTTCCACAAGCTGTTGTCTTCTTTCTTGGGCTTTTTGGGTTCCAATTTGTCCAGAAGCTCCTGATCATCAAAGAGTTGTCTTTTTATTTTACCATTGTCTAATAAAGTTAATAATCAATGTTAATCACCTTCAATTTTGTCAACTGCATCTTGARTTTTAGTACATCATTTATATGACTGTAAATAACTAGTCTTTTCTGTAGTGTAYTCTAAATCCTACTTCGTAACCTTGCAGTTTTTACATTGTAATAAAACCTTACTAATCTTACTATCACTTTTCCAATCTGYTGATAAGTCACAAATGGTCCACTATGTTATCACTGAGAAGTATATGAATATGACTGTGTTATATTGAAAGCCCTCCATTTCTCACCTGGGATTCTGACAAAAAGGCTAATTAGTTCAGCATTGTATATATCAAAATGTCACATTTCTTAGTTATAGCAGTAATTGCAAACTGACCTTTAGTATTAGTCATTGCAAGAATTCCACATGCAAGACATAGATTGCTTCCTTCATACTGCTCTTTTGCTTTGTCTAGATCATCGTCATCGTTAAGGCTTACACACTGCTTCGTGCCTTTTTTAAGCCAATACAGGCCCTTTAGGGGAACAAACACTATTTGTTTATCATTGTAACTTCTCAAAAGGACTTTAATTTCYCCTAAAGTAGAGTCTCTTGATACTTTGTGTAGTGTTTTGGCAGCCCCAAAGACTTGTATTTTTCCTTTGACATCTCTAGCTTCGAATACAAAGACGTCCATGTGAGTTAACCTGGTTGCTGTCCTTGGAGATCTCCTGGGTGTTATTGGTTCTGAAGCAATAAAAGACTATTAACATAAGCTTTAATGAAACTCGCTGTTCATTCGATCATTAC